GAGTGGTGCAGAGTGGTGCAGAGTGGTGCAGAGTGGTGCAGAGTGGTGCAGAGTGGTGCAGAGTGTAATGGAAGTTCAACACTCAAGCCTGTATTCAAATCAAACCAGATTTAGGTGTTAACGGTGTGGGAGGCTCTAGGTCATAGGCAGCACATGGCCGAGCACGAGACACGCCCCCACCTGGAGATCTCATCCCCCACTCTGGGTGGAGCCTCATAACAGGTGAGCTGCCATGGAGGAGGAAGTCGTTTTGCTATTTATCACACCAAAAGCATGTGTGTCTGTCCAGAGAGTCACGTGCTCACCTTGAGGTTGCTGATGTGCTTGAACACGAAGGGGTTGTTGATATTGATGGCCTTGCGGATCTTTTCGTTCATGGCGTTGACGTAGGTCTGGTACACCGCCATGCACTTCTTCGCCAGAGACGAGGCGTAGTAGATGGGAATGTCGTGGAGCTCGGGGTGGTTCTGCCAGTACTCGTCTGCCAAAGCAAAACCCAAAAGCCAACCTCAGCCCCCCCGGTTCATGCGGGCGGGAGTTTCGGCAACGGCGGGCGCCCCCACGCACCCAGAATCAGCAGGAGCTCCTGGGCTCTCCCCAGGGCGAACACGGGGATGAGGCAGCGGCCCTCTCGGTTGACGATGTCGTGCACCGTGTTGCAGAAGCGGGCCTCGCGCTCCTCCCTCTTCTCGTGGATGTGGGTGCCGTACGTGGATTCCTGGGCGAGGTTAGAGGAGCCGAGAGAGAGGTTCGCACCAGGAGCCTGCTTTTAAACAGTCGTGCCTGCACCTTCCGGTAAAACTGAGGGCTGATGCACTACAACATGGAGTATCAGCGAAAAAACAACACATAGGAATGGCATTTTATAGCTGTATTCCCTATAAACGCTTCTCTTGACCAGAACCTGATTTTACATAATCATGGAATGGTTTGCTGTCGCATCCGATCATCGTTAATGCCCAAGATACTTATCTATGAAGACAAAAAGGGCTTACGCATTTGAAGATAAGGCACCACAGCCTTTTGTTACTTCTCATGCACAAAAGAAAGAAAAAAATAGTAACAACTGGAGGAATCATTTGTTAAATGTATATAATACTATTCCTCCCAGAAAGATCCCAAAACACCCCTAAACACATAGGAGGGGACTCACTTCGTCCACCTCTAAAGTGCACAACAGAGAAGTGAGAAAAATGTTTCACCAATCAACGTGAGCTTAAGGAAGAGCAGACAGTGCAAGCCCAAGGTGTAATTTAGTCGTTACACCGGGGTTAACGCACTTTACTCCTTTGAAATGTTCAGTTCAACACAACGAGCTCAGTTTAGCTTCTCACCAGAAGGAGGGAAACTCCTTCAGCACGGTGTCCCCCGTCACCGTACTGGGGCAGTGGTGGAGAAACAGCGCCACTTACTGGTCCACAGCAGCAGCAGCCTGGTCTTCCTTTTCGACGTTTCCCATCCCAGTACCAACCGGGCGCAACCTCGCTTAGCAGCCAAGATCTGATGTGATCAAGACGGCACAGCTGCCACTAACAGCCTCAAACTTGTAACGGGCTGTTTCAGCAATCGCAGACGTTTCACACAGGCTTTTTTTAAAGGAACTGCAAAAGTTTTTCAAGCTGTCGTGAAGCCAGTTGGTGGCAAAGTGTGGAAGACAGGCACAAGACGGAGGGGACAGACTTACGATAATGAGAATGTCAGGTTTGACGCTGGGGATCTCTGCTGCCATTAAGTGTCTGTCCTCCTGGCGGGAGAAGTCTCCGGTGTACAGCAACTGGAGAGACACAGGAACACCTCTCTCGCAGACATCCATGACATACTGACGGCACATTTACACCGAGGCAGCGATGGAATAATCAAGGACTGATTTTTTCGAATTCACTGAAATTACGAATCCCTAAGGCCTCTTCTGTAACCAGGGTCGGTTCAGTGTGCCCCTTTGTAAGAATCGTCTCATGAAGCCAGTGCCTTAACAGAACAAACAAAGGCCAAAGACAAAGTTCCACGACATTACAGAAAACTAAGTCTATCATATTACTAGACTGAAGAAAAATGCAGAATATCTTAATGTTTAAAAACACATATCTACTCTAGCAGAACTACAGCTTTTCTGTGTTTAGGGCTCAGGATCTAAAAATACAATCTCGTCCGCACCGAACAGCTCCAGTTAAAGAGCAGTGTAGCATAGGGCAAAGTCCCACCTTCACACCAGCGATTTCAATCATGAACATAGCCGCCCCCAGAACATGGCCTGCGTGGTAGCACCAGAACTTGATGCCTGCGACCTCCTTCACTTCGTGGAAGTTGATCGTCTCTATCTTGTCCATGCTTTCCTCCAGATCTGTCTCTGTGTACAGCATGTCATCCGCTGAAATGTTGCTATGGTCAAAGAGAACAGGCAGGAAGTGTTTAAACAGAAACAGCAATCGGACATTTAAAGGATACTTGAAGTGATCTTGAGGTAATTAAGTCACACTGCATTGTTTTTGCAGATGTTCCCTTTGATCTTATATTTCTGTGGCACATAAACATCAATCTTGGCAAAAAGGTCAATTTTTGACTTTGGAAAAGCAGCTTTCTGGTCACCCTACTACATAGCAGGAAACGAAAGAAGTCACATACAGGATGAACGAGATGAAGGAAAAATATTCAAGGATGACAGACATCTAACACACTACATCTAACAATATCTCGCACGTGGATCCATCCAAGTCTAACAATGAATTATTGGTATAAACTCTGATAACACATTGTATGTTTTTCAATCCACATACAGTAATATGCTGAGGTTTCCTGTCATAAGAAGAAAAACAAAAACAATCACCCACCTGACTTTAACATAATCTGACAGCAGCCACCTGTAAATGGCTTTTGTGGCATGAGTCATGAATGTCCTCCCCTTAAAGCTGGTCTTCTGCAGGAACCAGGGCAAAGCGCCACAGTGATCCAGGTGGAAACTACCAGACACAATATGCATGTTTCAATAACGAACTGGCACACGTCTTAATTCAATAAGGGCACATGTCTCTTTGGGCAGAAGGATGACTGTCAGTTCTTGTCCTGGAGCTCCCCTGTGTTATCATGTTTTCACTTCAGCAAAGCCTTTAACCACCCAAAACCCGCTGATGGCATCTGTAAATGAAATTCTTGCTTGGTCCGACTTTTTTAACCTTCTTCTATGCTCATTCTTCAGTTTTAAAAATACTCTTCTGCAGGTCTTTTACAAAAAAAAACAGCAGACAGAGTGCTGTCCCCTCTCTTCCCCTTGCATATTCAGAGGCAGCGACCTATTAAGTGTTTATGCAAATCTAAAAAGCCCTTATTATTAGATGCCTAATTCAAGGTGTCAACAACACTGTGTTGAGGGGAACAACACTGTATCAGACCATCCCAACAAGTTTGGCTCTTTCCATAAAGCAGAGAAAAGATCCGTGCAATATGTGCACCTCTGTGTTCTGCCCAAGTTGAACTGTTTACATTCGACACTGGAACTGAAATGGGCTTGAAACCCAGGAAGTGGCTGTTCCTAAGAATTAGCCTGCCCGATTAAAGGCTAGGACTGGCTAAAAGACAAAGGGGTGCTCTGGGGCCAGGGCTGAGGGCGACCGGAGCGGCGGGTGGTACAAACTGGCTGATCAGGAGGAGGTCAATCTCCGCGGGGTCTATCAAGTCGATGTAGGGGAGTGCGTCCATGCCCTCCAGGCCTGGGTGGATACCACAGTCCAGCTGGGGAAAGAGAGACAGCGCATGGCACCTCTTCTCCAGGTGTCACCCACCCGCCACAGAACTGTGACACCGAGTGTCTGCCCCACCCCGCAGGGGGAGCCTGGGACAGAGCAGGCAGTGTCCTACCATGATCTTCCTTCCCTTGAACTCCAAGATGATGCATGATCTTCCCACTTCCTGTCCGGCGCCACTGAGGGGACCATGAAAAACAGAACACCCTTCTTTAATTCGAGACTCGAGAGGAGGAACTGCATGAAGCAAGTGCAGAGCCTTCCTTTTTTTCAATTTCCAAACCTGCACAATGTACACTCAAAGAATGCACCGCATTTACAAAACGAACAATTTTAGGGAATTCAAAAGTAAAAAGCAGCTTAGCATGAAAAAAAACAATAACAGCTTTAAAAGTCCCCCAATAGATAATGTTCACAAAGTTCAAACGCGCGTTCTCTTTTTCAAGAAATCCAAGTAAGGAACCTAGGATTTGTTGCACCAGAGAAACATTGTAAAATGAAGCTTTCTTGAGCTCTTGGTTAAGTCTGCACACCTTATTTATTGAGAATCTGTCTTTTTAAAACTATTAAAATGATATACATCTGGAAAATAGATTTTGGAACCACATATGCAACAGAAAACTGAGTTGTACTGGTCCAAGCAAATATCTTATAATACTAAGACTAATGAACTTTACTGATGTGAACATCAGTCTGGTTTCCTTTGCGTCTACATTTATTTTAGGTGGGTAGCTGCGTCAGCATGCGTAGGCTGCAAAGGAACAAGTAATAGGTTTATTCCATGCTGAAAAAAAGAAGAAAGAGAACACAACGTTTCGGCCGTGGAGCCTTCTTCATGTGTTCTTCAGGTTGCTCACACCTGAAGAAGGCTCCACGGCCGAAACGTTGTGTTCTCTTTCTTCTTTTTTTCAGCATGGAATAAACCTATTACTTGTTCCTTTACATTTATTTTAGACTACTAAATAAATTAATACAACTGTAAGAGACCTAAGAACTCTCTGTTGAGATTCCTGTATAGATAAACCCCCAATGTATAATGAAATGTATCCGAACTGTTTTTGTTCCCAATCATCAAGAGTACATAAGGGTCTTTGTGATGTTTAGAAAACTTGTATCAATCAATTACATACAATTACACGTTGTATTACGTACAAAATACACATAAATGAAAATCAACACAAAAATAATTTCGAGTAGCCGACAATGTAGTATGCGTTCGTCTGCACCAAATTAATAGTTTCCGTGGGAAATACTCTTCCACAACTGGACATACTACTTTCTATACCGGTGCACTGCTCCTTACTGAATCTCCCGCGACACATTACACAGGCACTCATGGCTGTTCACTGTAACCCACAAACGCGAACCACAGCACACTTACAGGGGTCTAATTAATAACTGATCGCTTTCCTCCGCTGGTACCAAAATATCGGCTTTTCGCTTCGCAGCCATTAAACAACCCGTTCTATTTCATAAGTCATGAAACAATGTTAACAGCAAAAACTTGGAGCACCACTCTGCCTCATAATCACTTGCGCGAAACAGGGCAACTTCCGGTTCTGCGTGCAAAATACGTCCCTACTGAAACTATCCCTATCGATCTTTGGTTCCGACATCATTGTTACTAACGGAATACACGCAGTGAGTCTGTGTGTACCTACTGCATAAAAACTCTAGAGAGTATAGTTCTTCATTACTACAGTTTCGACTTTTCGAGTATCACTTAGTATTTCTATAAACCGCAAAATATTCCTTGAAACATATTTTTCTATCTGGGACATAGAATCCAATGGTGATGGGTGTATTCACATCAAAATGTACATCCGTCCTCTCCTTACTCAACGCTCTCTGTTAAAGTAACATTTTTATTAAAGTACTACTAATACTTAAACGTGATGTGTTCTGAAAACTCGAAGAATAGAATTTCAATAAGTCAGCTTTCAGTGAAGCATCAGCAGTTTTAATGAAAAGATTTCTGCTGCAATTGCAGGGTGGCAGGGTGACGCAGTGGTTAGGATTTCCGCATCCAGGGTGTATCCTGCCCTGCTCCCGTTACATGGCTGGCTGCAGAGAAGACCAACACGATACATTCTGGGAATGTCCTACACTGACAGACTGAAAGACCTGCACCTTTTTATTCTTAAATGGACGAGATTCTTAGAGGCCCTGATACAAGTATCCCAGCTTCTCGAAAGCTTCAACAAAGTCAACCCAGCAGATTTCTTCAGAATGAGCAGTGAAACATGAACCAGGGGACACAATTGGAAACTACACGGAGGTGCATTTAAAACTGAGAACATGAGGCATTTCTTTACGCAAAGAGTTGTGGGAGTCTGGACCAAACAAGCTAAATGGACTGAATGATCTCCCCTCATTTGTAATCTTTCTTATGTTAGACAACTAGTTGGTAATATATCAGTATTCAATCCTGCTAACAGTAACACGCTGATACATACAGACAACAACATATAGTAGAAGCTTAAACTTATCTTAAACGAATTTAAATTTGTAAACAAAATTAAAACTATGAATCTGTCATTAACCGTTTAAACACCAGAAAATAAAAAATGGAAAGGCTGCAAATCAATTTCCTTGAATTCGAAGTGGTATTAGGCGCTCTGTGTTGTTGATTTTACAGATAGCTATTAAGTAATCCAAAAATCTGGGTAGATGGGAATTCTGAAGACCTGGAGCAGTTTAATTGTGATCACTTGCAGGCGGGATGTTAAAGTCAGGGCAGGAATGGGCCATGAAGGTCACTGTTGCTTCCTCACAAACGTTTGGACCCTGGGTTAGATCTGGTCTGGGTCACCTTATTGGGGGGAGTATGCATGTTCTCACAGCGTCCACCCAGCGGGCCTGGGTTCGATCCCAGACCTGGGGTGCTGTCTGTGCAGAGCGTAGTAGTAGGTTAATTGGCTCCTGGGGAAATTAGCCCTGGTGTGAGTGTATGTGCTCTGCTGTCGTACCCTGCCTTACGCCCCGCGACCCTCGGTTGGATAAAGCGGTGATTTAAAGTGTGACGCGATTCCCGCGAGTTTGTAGTAGCGGGAACACGCACTGAGAGACAGTGACGTGAATCAGGACCTGCGTTCCCACGCCATCATCTCTGGAGCTACTGTAAATGCCGTGCTAATTGTTCCGGCCTCGCTGTCCACCCTGTAATTCATCGGCCGTGCCAAAGAATAAAGCGCTCTTAGTTTCAATTTGAGAGCCTCGTCCGTCTTACAACAAGCAACGAAGCGCGCCCTTCCAATTGTGACCGTCGCCATGGAGACATAAACACACTTCCTGCTGTCTGGAGTTTGCGCCACACGACGCCGGGAATAGGAATGGGGTTTCACCACACAAACACAGCGCCGTGACGACCCGCGATTCGGGCCCGGTTCGCCGGGGGGGGAGGGTTGTGTGGGTCGCGTCTCCTTTAAGCGGTGTGGGTGGAGCCCAAAGGAAGTGACGTGTCTGCCCGAGCCTCGCCAAAAACACAGACCCGGAGACTACAAGCCTGGCTGAAATAACGCCCAGCCCCGTCGCGAACGGGCTCGTTAAACACGTATAAAACGAGGTATGAGTTGAACAGCTGCTTGAATTATCTCATCAGTCCGACCTGCCAGTTTTCTGATTTACGGTGAAGGGCTGTGCGGTTAAAAGGTGATTGGAAAGAAATGTCAATGAAACGAGGATGCGATGAGGGGGTTGTGGGTGGGGTGGAGAGTTTAGCCTGGCAACGGGTTTCCGTTACTTCAGCTGGGAGTTTTTTTAATTAACGATCTGAGGACGGTGGGTTGAGATTCTCAGTGAGCTCGACTCTCAGATGCCCGCCTCCGTGTGTCATTCACCTGCTGTGCGTTTCTCACGCCGCGCTGGCTTCAAAGTTACATTGTAGGCAAGTTGTGCGAAAGTGGACTTGGCAGGGAGAGCGGTAGGATTATTTATGTCAGCCCGATTGCGAGGCTGTACAAAATTGCATCCCACTCAGTATGGCTCTTTTTACTTAAAGTGCTTCAGTTTGATGTTTGTGACCGTTTGTTTTCGTTTTCTTTCTCGTATCGGCAAGCTCAGCGGGAAGATCGAGACAGATGAGTGCACCTATATCATTGTCCCGAACTTCTTTTTCTTTTCTCTCTCACAAAGACTGTTTTAAAAGCCTGTCAGATGCAACAGAAAGGAAAAAAAAAAAACTCGGCCTCACGCCTTTGCAGTTCAGAAATGTTAAGCGAATTCACACGAGTCAAACCTCCGAGCAGAGGAAACCGGAGAGTGACAGATGGAGACCGCAAAGCCTCAGGAGACCGTACAGACAGCTGCTGTAGGATTGTCAGTCGGGTCGTAGTGGCTGTAACCCCTGCAGAGACAGTAATAGGCAGTATGTTAATGGTTGAAGAACATGTAGAGACATTCCAGCATAGGAAACGGGAAATTCAAACGGCATCCGCATGCAGTAGGAGCTGTTTTCATTGAGAGGCAGGACAAGTCTTGCATATTGCCTCTAAATGGAAGACAAGTGGTGGTGTGAACAGTTGACTGTTACAATCGACTTTTTGCAAAGAGTCAGGATGAATTAGGAAAAAAAACCTCAAAATAGCATCAGTAAAGATTTTTTTTAAATGTAATAATAGTGTAGACTGTGAGTGTTCCCCAGGGACTGTTAAGCAGGTATTTCATCTGTCGGGTGATTCCTGCTCAAATGTGAGTGGATGAGTTTTAAATTGGAAGCAGTGTGATAAACCATTACGTCCGACAGTGTCGGTTTATTCTTTATTTACTGTCTGGCAGCCCTAGTAGGATGTTCATTTTTGCAGACCCTAGCAGACATATGAGCTCTCAACGGAGACACATTTTTAGACTGTGTTTGTGTGCAGGTGCTCCTAGCCCTCCACAACCTTCAAATCCTTCCAGGGAGGCTGGGCAGTCTACACCTGGAGCTCAACAACAGAGACAGTGAGACAGACCAGGAGCCCTTTTCTAGTTTCTACAGTGCGCCTTTGACCACGGACTGACTAGGGCAGACGTCATACTCTAAGGGCCATTTGGTTTTTATTCCACCCGAGCTCTCAGTTACTTAGTGGGGCTAATTATTTAATTATCTTGCATAATGGTAATACTTCTGATATTGTAACTGTACTTGAATAAAGTGAATATTTTCATTAATCAACTGCAACAGATTTTATCAAAGAAAAACATATTCCCACATAGTAACGGGGACACTTTGCTGTAAAAAAGGTGCTGTCCTTCAGATGAGACGTAAAACCGAGGTCCTGACTCTTTGTGCATTAAAAATCCCAGGGCGTTTCTCGAAAAGAGTAGGGGTGTTACCCCAGCGTGCTGGCCAGATTTCCCCCTGGCCTTTACCAGTCATGGCCTCCTAATAATCCCCATCCATGAACTGGCTTCACCCCTCTGCTCTCCTCCCCACTGAGAGCTGGTGTGTGGTGAGTGTACTGTTGCACTATGGCTGCTGTCGCATCATCCAGGTGGGGCTGCACACTGGTGATGGTGGTGGGGATCCCCATTACCTGTAAAGTGCTTTGAGTGGAGTGTCCAGAAAAGCCCTATATCAGTGTAAAGTATTAGTATTATTATTACCAGTTTTTATTATTATAACTGTCTTTGGACTGTGGGAGGAAACCAAAGCACCAGTCAGAAACGAGGACAAACACAGGAAGAATATACAAACTCCACACAGAGAACTCCCCAGGCCACTATGCTGCCCAAAACCTCCCAGGTCCAGGTACCGCAGGTCATGTCCTCTCAGGTACATAAGAAAATAAGTTCATTGTGTCATTATAATAATAATAAACTTTATTTAATATAGCGCCTTTAAAGGTGGCTTCTCAAAGCGCTTTACAGGATGACAATAACAATAAATAAGAAGATTTCACAAGATAGGACACAATTGATAACATAAGGTTGGGACATCAGAGGACACAAGGCTCATCAGGAACTGAGTCTGACACTACCAGTCTGGGACAGTTATCATTTAGAAAACCTTATTCATACAGGTTTAACACCATCTGAGAGTTATGCGATTTATCTTCATGTTTTTGGAAATAATCTCCAAGTGTATGTCATAATTTCCAGACAAATCTAATAAAATAGCAGAGGTTCAGTAACCATAAAGATGTGCGTAATGCCTTTATTTCTTTTGAAACTGTTTGTGCAGCAGGATGATGAAGTACACTTCAGTGGTCAGGACTTTGTAGAATGTTTTATAACTGTGGGGGCTTGGAGTCCACGTTTACTTCAGTTTCCTCTTCTAGAACTCATGCTCATTAATGCTTCGAGAAATACAGGTGTCCTCATACGCGTTAGGTCAGTGTGTGTCAGCATGATGAAGGCCCTCGGATATTTGCTTCACATTCAGGACGTGAAATGAAAGATAGGGGCAATCTGGACCTTGTCCCAGTAAAAGACGCGAGGCCGTTGGGCCTCTGCTGATTGTCTGTCCTGCGCAGGATTCTGCCCCCTGCTGGAGAGCTGAAGCGCTGGCGTCATGTTGAAGAATGTTCCGGAAAGTCAAGAAGCGTCACAGCAGCAGCAGCTCCCAGAGCAGTGAGATCAGCACCAAGAGCAAGGTGGGTGGGCCTCAACAGGGGAAGGGTGTCCTCTCCTGGGGGGGCCGAGGGTTGCTGCTAAAGGACAGCCCTGCGCTGCAGGTGTGCCTGGAGACGTTTAGTATCGTTGCCGATGTCTGAATATTTTTCAGTGCATATGTCCTGGATCCTTAATCAATTAAAACATGACGCAGATGAGTAGTAAGATATCACGTCAGAAGGTTCCTGTGAAACTCTTACCCTCTCTACAGCTCCCGATCTAGACTTTGTAATCCTGCTAGTGGAGTTACAGGCATTTGAACGTGTTGCTGTGCCGCCGTGTTTGGAACTGTCAGCAAATTTATCCAGCAGTGCAGTGCAGTCTCAGGTTTGAGAGCACCACAGGGAGGGCCACTGGCACTTCAGTAATCAGTTCATTTGGGTGGAGTGGTAAAAAAAGGAAACCTCTTCGTTTACTGTTCATTTGATCCAGAGGCTGAGTGAAAAAGAGTAAGCATGTAAGCGTTTTTTTAGCCAATGTCCTGTAATAACCTTAATGGACAAATATCTCGGACGGACTTTCTTGTATTGACTATTCTCTGTTCTCTAAATGTGAAGTAATGCTTTAGTTACACCAGTTTCTGTGCACAAACTGGCACAAGCTCAGTGATCAGACATTCTAGTTCTGATTTCCCCGCAGAAGCGCACTGCTTGAGAGAAAACCAGGGCAGAGGTTCATTTTGAGGAGATGAGTCGACATGTTCACATGCCTGTAACTCCGCTAGCAGGATTACAAAGTCGTGATCGCAAGCTTCCCGCATTCCTGCCCTCTTGTGCGTTAGCCGGCCTCTCTTCCCACCCCTCGCTACTGAGCCCGTTCCAGATGGATTGTGGGGCTGGGCGTTCACAGGTGTGCCCGCGCTCGGCTCGACGAGAGAACAGCCTGTGGGCCACCGCGGGGGCGGAGCACACGAGCCCAGGGTACGCCAGCGGAGCAGGGGGCAGAAACAGCCGTCTCAGTGTCTGTCCCTGTGTTCAGTCTGTAGACTCCAGCCTGGGGGGGCTCTCCAGATCCAGCACGGTCGCCAGTCTCGACACCGACTCCACCAAGAGCTCAGGTAAGTCCCGCGAGTGACACACCACCAGCAGGCCCTTTAAGATGCAGAAAAGGCTTGTGGCCCCTTCATGTTCTGGCCTACGATCCTTCAAGCATGCTCAGTTCCTTGGAGAACTAGCTGGCCTATTCCTGTCTGGCTCAGGGATGAGAAACTGTATTCCACTTCTAGTTAGACACTAGTTAGTCCTTGCAGTGCAAAATCAGAACTTAAATATACGAGCAATGTGTGAATGGATACATATTTATATGACATCTACTGCTAAATCAAGAAATTGCTAGTTGCTATTCATTATCTGTACAGTCAGGTATTTTTTCTAGGGTAGCACATTGGCGCAGTAGTTAGCATTGCTGCCTCACAGGACTGGGGCCCTGGGTTGAATCACTGGGGTGCTAATGTGTGTGGAGTTGGTGCATTCTCCCCGTGTTCATACGGGTTTCCTCTGGGTGCTCCAGTTTCCCCCCACAGTCCAAAGACATACCGGTAGGCTTCTGGGAAAGTTGGAACTGGTATGTGTGTCTGTGTGTGTTGTACAATGGACTGGCGTCCCATCCAGGGTGCGCCCTGCCTTGTGCCCGTTGCTTGCTGGGATAGGCTCCAGCTCCTTAAAGTGGTTAGAAAATGGAACGATTTTTTTAACCAATAATTCAATCGCCCCCCACTCAAGACATCAATATAGTTTTGCATTAAGCCATGCAGTACATAATCATTAAACAGTTATTGCATTGTATTACTTCAGTCATTTCAGTTACTCTTCTCATCACAGAGAATTTAA